TCTTTGTTGCCCCCCCCGCTTCCCCGCCCTTCTTGTGGTTGGTGTGGGAGATGTTTATTTGAGGAGTTTGCAAACGAGAGAGGGGGGGGGGGGGGGGGGGGGGGAACCAAAAATCCCAAGAAGAAACTCACATACACCTTGCAGACATAATAATACAGTACATTTAAATCTGGCAAGTATACAGCAAATCAGGAATAAGCCTTTTGTTTTGGTTTTGGGGAAAAAATCAGAGAGACTTTTTAGATGTTTTGGTCTGTACATTCTGGTCATAACCCAGGATCTTTAGAATGAGGAAGGGGCATGATGAGAAGAAAAAGGGAATTACCAAAGAACCTGCTGCTTGCCAAGAGTTTTCAGACTGGTGACGGAGAGACCAACACGGCACAGGAATACCAGGAGAGCATATTCTTAGGCTACCAACAGGATGTTGCCTTACCTCACCCATGTTAATTAAACCTATGCTTAGATAAGGACTTAAAGTTAAACAAACTGTGATCAAATGTACTAGGGCATGGTACAATCACTCCCTTTCTTTTCCATAATAAGACCACACCATTTGGTTATGTGTTGTTGGACAAGGTGAGGACATTTCCTTCCTGGAACCTGCCATGGGATGAAATACACTCAACTCACATTCTTCTCTAGGCTAAATATGATCCAAGAACAAGAACCTGTGAATAGAGGTGCAGCCCAGCTTAAAAGGAAGGTCTTTATTCCATAGTTCATGCATTCTCAAGTTCTAGAAGTTCCATGGTGAGTAACGGCTCTTTCCTCCTCAATTAAGCAGGCAACAAGATTTTAGGAGGACTATCCTGGAGAAATGACCAGCAATCATTAAAATTTCTGCTTGCTGCATAAAGTATTTTGGAGCTTGGCTAAGCCAAAGTTCACAACTTAAATTGACTTAGAACTGCTAAGCCTGGAAAGAATCTGAAGTACAAATGTTCAAAGCAAATCAAAATTACACCAAAATGACAACACATGCATAGTAATGTCAAGGTGCAAATCCTGTGTTACCTTTGCTTTCCTATGTTTGATGCAAGTGCTGTACATAGATTATAGGATTTGTATCCCATGTCATGAAACACATGTTGTCAACTGGTCTCCCCTTGTCCCCCTGTGAATGTCCATTTCTTGCAGATGCTTACAATGATCAGGAGTACACCCAGTATCTACGTTTACTGCTGCCTGGAAACCCTTATGGACTTTTTGCATGAAACAGAAAAAAAATGAACTTAAATTTATGGTTTTGATGACTAGACAGAATAGAGTATAGAAAGAAGAGAGTTATGTTCTAACCACAGAGTAAGAGGTAAATTTATGATTCGTACTTATAACTGCTGTAAAGAAGGAAGCTACATCTTTGAATCTTTTCTCTTTCTTTTCTATTTTTCTTTTACTTCCCCCCCCTTCTTGAACTTTTAGCTTTCTCTTTGATTTTTTTCTTTTTTTTCTTTTAGTTTGTATTCGTTTTTATTTTCTTTTTAATTTTTTTTTAATAAGAATTATATTTTAAAAATGATCAGGAGTACACCCTCTGCCCACACACATATACACCCCTCCACTCTAAATACCCTTTACAGCATTAGCCCAAATAATTAGTGGAGTAACAAAAGCAGAAAAAAAATCAAGATGTACCATTGCAGAAGTGGATGCTAAAAGGCACTTAACACAGATTAAGACAAAGCTTTTAAATCCATTTTGCAGCATTCGCAGTCATAGCTCTTAAAGACTAGGTCTGTCAAGAGCTATTCATCCTGAAGACTCTCTGATACATCTGAGTTGGGGGTAGCATGCCTCCAAATATCAGTTGTAGGGGAACAATGGTGGGAGAAGGTATGTATTCATCTCCTGTTTAGGAGCTCTGACTCGCCACTGTGACAGACAAAATGCTAGGCTAAAGCCATGGCTCGATCCAGCAGGAGTGCCCCTGTGTTCTTACAGAGCAGATTTTGCCACCCGTTCAAGGTGTGTAGGCATCCCCTTTATCCACAGGTCTTCCTGATTAACTAGCCTGAAGCAGAAGGAAACTTTTCTTCATCTATGTTCCTGATGGCTCAAGCAAGTTGGTGTTCAGAGTAGAAGAGCTACAGGTAGGAAAACACAGGAGGACCGAGAAGGTTGATGCACAATTACTAAAATGGACCCAGCAAATGGATGTTTTATTCCAACCCTTTTCTCATGACCCTCCAGCCCAGCAGACTTTAAAGAGATATTGCTATACATTAGTGGGTTTCTCAATCTCTGCTGGGGTGCTCAGTATCATGACTTGGACATCCCAACTAGATACAGGTGGCTTCAGATAGATTCTTGGAGTTTCCACGCAAAGAAAGCTCTGCCTGGAACAAGTTTTGGCACGCAAAAAGTTGCACACACGCGCACGACTGCATCCCTCACCCTAAATGCTATCTAAGGCCGAGGGGAACCTTCCCAGGACGGGAAGAATCGAGAGGATTCGGCGTCGAAATCCAACAGGTCGCTTACCCTCCACCCCTCTGCTGAGGCAGGCGCGCTGCCTTCCACCTTCGCTCCAGAGGAACTTTATGGCTAACGGAGCATCATCTGGTGGAGAGTCTCGGCGGGTGCAGAGAAAAGAACTTCTACCTACTTATTGAGAAAAGCAGGCTGCCGCCCCCCCCTTCCTCAACTTCGTGGCCCCTCCCGGACATCAATCAAAGGTAATCCTCTTTGAGAGCTTGCCCTGAGGCTGAGCTGGAAAGAGGGGTCTTTCGCCCGCGTTTGGGCTACTGCAGCGTCTGGCACCTTAAACGTGGGCGCTAATAAAACGAAACTCTTACGAAAAACTCAGCCCGACCTGCCCTTTCGGGGGTCCGGGGACGCGCGGTGGCTGTTCTTTTCGCAGAGCGGAGGCTCGGAGGCGCCTCCTGCCTCTTTTTGCCCCTTCCCAGGCCGGGTCGCAGGGCAGCGGCGAAGTTTCGCGCCCGGGAGCTCGCCCGCCGACTTGCCTGGATGGATGCTGAGGGCGTAATTGGCGACTCTGGGTCCGTCTTCCGCTGAAGGCTGCCTCGTGCTTCCCGGCCGCTCCGCTGGCTCTGCTCCACCGCCTGCCCGGCTATCTGCTCCTTATCTCCCTCTCTTTCCCTTTGTGTCTTCAGAACTAGTTTCAGCTGGTCACATGTGGACACAACCTTGCCTGGCGCGGCGGCAGCCTCTGACGTCACGCCCAGCTGACAACAAAAGGTGGTTTGGGGAGCCCGAAGTTACTGCCAAGGCTCCACCTCCCTCGTGAAGCAGCTGCAGACAAAAGGCAAAGCGGCCCAGGGCAAAGGGAAGCTGGGTCCAGCTGCTGAAGAGTCCCCAGCTATGGCCCGACCTCGGTTCCCACCTTGCCCTTTCTTTCTCTTCCTGATGGTAACGCAGCATAACATTTCCAAGAGTCTGGAAATTGCCCTCTCGGCCTCTTCCTTCTTTCAGACACCGCCTGACGGCAGACTCAGAGTATGATTTTTATCTCCCACAGTATGATATATAGTTTTAGCTATTTGGTATCTTGTGGATGCTTTTCTCTTCTTTAACACCTGAAGAAAGTAGCAAGCTGCAAACACCATACCAAGAAACTTCCTTCCCCTTGTTCCTTTTTCTTTTGAAATGACCCATAGAAAAGTTTAGTGCAACTTTCTTTTAAAATGAAAAAAATAAGTTGATTGTTCCATAAGGTTCCCGAACTGCTATTGTTAATTGATTTGCTTTAGTGATACTGTACCTAACATTCTTTCGGCGTTTCCTCTATGGCAGCTCAAAATTTTCAGTATCTCTTTGCTGCCATCTAATGAATATCTGGATTTTTACAGGCCAGGTCTGGTAATCCTAACAAAGGAACTCAAAACAGTGTTGGTACAAATAGCAGAAATGTTGCTAACAAGCATCTTCGTATCTGATTTACCAGCCCTCAGTTTTAGTCAAGGAACTTTTGCACCTTACTCTGATCATGGCAGTTCATGGAAGATCTCCAAATATATGAGAACTGTAATTGAAGTGATCTTAGTATTTTGGTGGTGGTGGTTGTAAGTAAAACCTTGGGCCTGAGATACATGAACTACTAGTTCCTCCATTATATTGTTGATATATGGATTATTCTTGAGATAGATATGTAGATACATAGATATCTATAGATACGTAGATACAATTTGCATTTTTGTATCTACATGTTTATAAAGTCTGTATTGTGTGCAGCACATATTCAGTTAAAAAAGTGTGGAAGAGTGAAGTCACCACCTGGAGCAAGCAGGCATTTTTTTCCCCTGGGATCCAGAGTTTTGGTGCTAGGTGGGAAGCAGGGTTAAAACAGCCTCATCCTCTCCTTAATTGGAGAGTTTGTTTTATAAAAAGGGAACTGAAAACAAGCATGTGCGTGGGCGTGTCAAGAAAGGAGTTAAGCCAGGAAGACAGCAGAAATTCGGGAAAGAAACCTCTAACCCAAAGGTAAGCACCTCAGCAGTAGCCTTCAGGCAGCAAGAGAAGCTTGGAGCTGCAAGGCCATTGAGAGGCAGAGCTGAGAGACCCGGGAGGAAAAGAGCCTGACCAGAGCCTGCAAAATTGAGCAAGCAAGCCCACCATGTGCAACAGCCCAGGGGCAGCGCTCTTTAAAACCCACTCCAGAAACAGAAGACTGTGAGTGCCGGAGGAGGGGGGGGAAAGCCCATTTGCAAGTCTATAAAGGAGTGAAAAGGGGTTTCATATGCAAAAGTGGAGTGAGATTGGCTGGGAGAGCTGCAGACCTGGGGGGAAAGGAAAAATTTGAAGGAGAAATACAGTAGTTAAGAAAACATAGTGCTAACATAGGAATGGGAACATAGAAATAGAACACAGAGATAGAAATTTATAGATTAAATAATAGAAATAGAATAGCTGTAAACTTACAGTAATAAGAAAATAGTAGAATAAGATAGGAGTTTATCTTTGTACAATAAAACAATTTTGTGTGGCAAAAGCAAATACAATCTTTGTATTCTGTGCCATATTAAGAAACACTGTGTTCTGTGCCATATTAAGAAAAACCCTAACAAATAGTTCCTTCTGCTGTTCATGGCTTGCGCTGGGTTGCCCGCAGAGCTGCATTTCCCCACTAGAGTTGGTCCAACCGCTTCAATCATGCCAAGAGAAGCTACTGGTTGTCCCCCATTTTTGGGAGGTTGGAGAGGGCAAAGCCCGGAAGTGTTATTTTTCGGTTTTGGGGCTGGCCCTCTGGAATGGTCTCCTGCTGGAGGTTCATTTGTCTCCAATTTTATCTGCCTTCTGGAAAAAGTCAAAAACAGAACTTTTCCAGAGAGCTTTGGGGTCTGATGCCCTATATTGTACTGTAGGTAGTCCTCAGTTAATGACTGCCCTGTTCAACAACCGCTTGAAATTAGGATAGCGCTGAAAAAGAAACTTTAGGACCAGTCCTCAAACTTACGACCACCGCAGTGTCCCCATAGTCACATGATCACCATTCAGATGCTTTGGAACCGGCATGCATTAACGACCATTGTAGCATCCCCGCAGTCAGTGATTACCATTTGTCAGCTTCACAGCTGGCTTCCAATAAGCAAAGTCAATAGAGAAGCCAGAAGTAAAATCGCAAGACGCAATCACGTGATGTCTCATTTGATGACCATGAATGATTTGCTTAACAAAGGCAGTGAAACTGATGTCATAGTCTGGCATGGTCACGTGATGTTTCGATTAACAACCACATTGCTTATATTATTCCCAGATTCATTTATATTCTGACAATATCTTTACAGAAAATGCAATTATCAATTAATGAGGGAGGATTCGGTCTTCTGAATCTGGAGCTATATCATCATGCTTATCTATTGTCAAGAATTAAATACTGGAAGCCAACAAGTGATGTTAATTTTCCAACATGGGCAACTTTGGAATATGCATATGTAACACCTTTGGTCGGATGGACAATATTAGGATTGAAATATACTAAAACTCTAATATCTCTAGAAACAATCTCATCAGTTTGAAAGCTATGGAACGTAATGTCTAATAAAAAAAGATTTGAT